GTGTTGAAAGTGTTCTGGAAAATGTGGACCGGATCAGGGAACACTGGCGCAAAATAGTGGAATGGATCGTTTCAATCGGTGAAACTGGAAAATACGGACCAGGTTTTTTTTTAAAACTGGATCGGCAGTCTGGATCGGCATTTTTACATGCTTTGCCGATACGCATTTTTTTGCCAATATCGGCGTCCGATCCGATACGTGGATCGGATCGGGACAAGCCTAATGGTGACATCATACAGCATTCAGGTATATTAAGATGACTTGCACCAATCATACTGTCATGGTCTTGGTTCTGTTAAGTTTTCTTTTTAGCATTCAGTTTCACTTTGATCCATGTTTCTCTTTCTGTTCTTATTTTGTTGGTTTAATTCCTATTTTGTTGGGTTTTCTGGATATATTCGAGTTCTTAGGTTTTCCTTTGGTGCTCTATTGTTTTGGTCTCCTTTTCCCTAGCTCCCTTCTAGAAGCCATTGTCAGTCAATCAGCTCAATACTCCAGTCTTATTCCTCCTCCCATATAAACTCTCCCATTGCAGTTCCTCAGTGCTGGTTCCCAGTCCTTCCCTGGCTGCTTGTGCATGTTTCCCCTGATATCTCCATGGTTCTGGTTTGTTTTACATTTTTATGTTGGATTTTTGGATTCCTGCCTCTGGAGCTTAAACGTAAAGATGGTTTGAAATTCATTCCTTTCAAATACACAGAGTTACTCCTCAAACGGCATATTTAAAAGAAGCTACTGTATCAGGCTGCACAATTTCAACCTTGAAAACATATGAGGATTCGGCAAATGTTAAAAAAGGTGTTATGGAGTGGATTTTGTTCCAATATTGTTGAAGGGAACAAGACTGGAAACATATTGAAATAAAAAAATTGAAAAAAATAAAAATGTGAAATTTTGGGTCAAAGAACTTCTTAATCCATAAAAACTTCTAATTTAACCTTCTTCAGATTACAATTTTTCTAATATTATTTTTGTTTACTTCTCTTTTTTTATTGTTTAATTAATTGGTTTTTACAGATTTAATCTTTCATAATTCTCTTTCATATTGAGTTTTGTGAATAGCTTTTTTATATTGTGTTTTGTAGATCACACTCACACTATACTGGTTTTTACATCACATTGGCCAGTTGAATGTTGCTGCTACTGTAGCCTTCATGCAGATCAATAGAAACTGGGATCTGTAAAATGCAATTAAAAGTCATTTGTAAAAGCTCTGAAAAATTGTTGGAATTTTGGATTCCTGTCTCTGTTGCCTCTGAGAACTCATTACATTTTTGAAGAACACACCTCTGCCTCCTTGCCGCTGCATTTGTGTCCTCAAAACCAGAACAAAAACCTGACACATGCAGGGCTTCTGGAAGAGGAAGTCACTTTTAAACGTTCATTCAAACAGAATGTAGAGAAGCTTAAAGAAACCGATCCTTGCTTCATAAAGTGTTTTTATTTTAAAGGATAATGGAATACACATCTAGTTATATTTGTTTTTTCCAGTTACTCTAAAAAAAAAGTATAAGTTATGCATTTATTCAGGAACATAACATAGTCAACATCGTTACTGCTTATTCAGATCACATCCCACAGCATCTTCTTTCCTCTGCTGTGTCATTCTCTTGGATCGCTGCTGTATCATGCCCCATGTGACGTTTCAAAAGTCTTGCTCTGTGCCAGAGCTGCCTAAGCTAATTAAGTCAGTCTCTGGAGGCTTTGGATGCAGGACCAGGCATATATGATTATCACTACCCACGTCTTTTCATGATCATGTTGGTTATAAAACTGTAACCTGCTACTAATGCATCGCCACACTAATGAAATGTTTGGATCTTCCAAACTGAACAACTCTGACATTTACAGAGCTTCCACTGCGCCGTTATGCATCATGGTCAGGGGGATTTTCCTCTTCACATTCCAGCTGCAAGGAATAGTTTCTTTGTTTCCGTTGTCGTCCCACTTTCTGTTTAGTGTGTGTCTCATAGATTGCTTCCTGCTTTCATCGCGGTGACTCTTCCTGGCACTTCTCTGCTCACAGGAGGCTGCAGGAGTGCAGGGATCTTTGATGTTCTTTCCAGCATGTGGTGGGCCTTGACAAGCTGACTCTGCCCGCTGCCCTTTGCCTCCGAGTCCTCGGGTAAGCTTGTCTCCATCTGTGTATAATCCTCCAGCTGACGTGTTGGATTGGCACTGATCCTCTTGGAGGTGTTGTTCTCTCCTCAGCCTCAGCCGCCTTCTCTCTACCTCAGGCTGGAGCGCAGTCAGGTTGTTGTGTGATGCCACTACGTCGTGTGCGGCCTCAGCTTTGATTCTGGCAGAATGTAAAGGAGGGACAGCAGCCTGAATCCCTCGACCCATGACGTCTTGCAGCTGCTTGTCTAAATTCTTCTTTATAGGGTTACGGCGTTTCACATGAGGTCTCGGCATCGTTGAAACAGAAGGACACTCAGCTAAATCCATAACCTTCTGCCTGACAATCGGCATTGGCTTACATGCGACATTTTTCTTCACTATCATGTCTGGCTTAGAGCCAGCAGGTTTCACGTCTAGATGGATCAAGTGCAGTTTTTTCCTCTGAGCCTCTCTCACCTCCTCTGGCAGCTCCAGTGGGGTGAGCTTGAGGGGCCGTCTCAGTGGCTGGTCCTCAGCCAGCCTCTCTAAGTCATGCCTGGGGGGGTTAAGCAGCAGAGAGCCCAGCTGCGTCATGGCCTCCTGGGTCGGTAAGGACGGTGTAAGCTGACCCAATGACTCCCGTCCATGTGTGCCTGACATATGGAGGCCAGGTGTATTCGAGTTGCGGCTGTTTTTGTTATCTTCTTTGATGTTCTCACCCGTCGGATACAGCATGGCATTTTTATCATTGGTGGTAAACATTTTATCTTGTTGCACACGATCCTAAAAAAGGAGACATTGGGGAATCATTAAAATTTTTTTTTTTTTTTCCACACGATCCTGAAAAAGGAGACATTGGGGAATCATTAGACATTAAAACTGTAGAAAAGGAGCTTAAATGTAAAGATAGGTTGAAATCCATTCCTTGCAAAAACATAGAATTACTCCTGCATTTAAATGGGCATATTTAAAAGAAGCGACTGTATCAGGCTGCACAATTTCAACCTTAAAAAGATGAGAGGATTCAGCAAATGTAAAAAAAAAACAAAAAAAAAAACGTTCCCATGTTTAGATGATAAAGGTTTTATGGAGTGAATTTTGATCCAATATTGTTAAAGGGGACAACACTGGAACCATATGGTGAAATAAAAAAAATAAAAAAAGTGAAATTATATTTCGAAGAACTTCTTAATCTAAAATATTTTTTTAACATGACCTTTCACAGATACATTTTTTCATTATTTATATTTATTCCTCTTGTTTTAATATTTTTGAAACCGTTTCATCAAATTTTTATTTTTAAAAATTTTCTTTACAGATTTAATATTTCGTATTTCTATTTTTCAGATTGAGTTTTATGAATTGCAATTTTTTCATATTGTGTTTTAAAGATCACACTCTTCATTTGTACAATACATTGACCAATATAATGTTGCTGCTAACATTCATGCAAATATATAGAAAATTTGATCTATAAAATGCAATTTAAAGAGGAAGTAATTTGTACAAATTCTGTCTGAAATATAGAATTTTGCAACAAAAGAAAAAACTTAGATCTGAAAAATCAGCAAAGTTACACCTTTTTTGATTAAGAAATCTTTAAAAGTGTTATTTCTGATTTGAATATTGCTTCTTTTTTTTCATTTCCATAAAAAAAAAAAAAAGAACACTTTCAAACCAGAAATGCTGATTTTAAATTTGGAACAACATGGACATTTCACTCCTTTCAGTTCTGAGGCTCACTTAATGTCGGAGATGGGAAGTAACGAAGTACAAATACTTCGTTACTGTACTCAAGTAGATTTTTCTGATATTTTTACTTTACTTTACTACTTATTTTTATGGCGACTCTTCTACTCCTTACATTTTTACACAAATATCTGTACTTTCTACTCCTTACATTTTTAAAAATTGGCTCGTTACTTTAGTTTTTAATCAATTCAGTGGAATTACCGTTATTATTTTTCACGTCATCAATACCAAATTCAATCTAATTGGATGGGAATCTACGTTGCATTTGACGCACCACTACAAGATGAATCGACAGATTCGGCGGTATTCATTGGCGGCAAATCATTGCAGCTTGGTGGCGGTGGCGTTAGCATAGTAGCATGGACGACGAGATGATTGAAAATGAACACAACGGAGATCTAGTCCTATTGGCAGACATCCATTTAAAATGTAGGCAACGGCATGAAAAAAGTGGTTTCTACTTTTACTTTTATACTTTAAGTAAATTTACAAGCCTGTACTTTGTTACTTTTACTTGAGTAAAGAAGTTTAATCAGTACTTCCACTTTTACCAGAGTATTTTTTAACACAAGTATCTGTACTTTTACTCAAGTACGGAAAGTGAGTACTTTTGCCATCTCTGGTTAATGTATCCAATGATAAACTTACTGCCCTGTTTTTTGGTTTTTTTTTTTCTGTGCTTCTTTGAAAGAAAGAAAAAGACATGGTCCCCACCCTGGCCCCATGATGAATTTGATATAGAAGTGCAAGCGGAAGCTGTGTTTACATCCATAAATCTGCATTCAGTCTTTGCTGGCTTCCATATAAGACAGACTTAGACTTAGACAGATTTTATTTTGTCACATGGTACACACAAGTGTGTACAAAAAATATTTCGTGAAGCACAGCTCACTAGACTTTTTCATTCTTTAAAGTGCAGCCTTGATTAACGTAAGCAGCAGTGATAAAAACACTAGTGAATAAAAGTGTATAGTTACAGTTCCAACATTCAGGGCTTTTTTTTTTTTTTATAACTCATTTTTTTAAACATTTATCAGTCAAATATGACCATCATCCATTGTTTACATCAATGCATTCTGATTAACCTCCAAGATTTACAGTCCCGGTTATTGAAAGTGTTACTTTCATAAAAGCAAAGAAAACATCTTCGGTGGTAACTCTGCCATGCTATCCATCTTCTCACCCAGAACAATAAACTCCACTGTTACGAGGCGAGTAGTCAAACTGAGGTCTTATGATGATCTTTCATTTTCTACCCACACATATGACAGTCCTGTATTGCATACTCACCGGTTTGCTGAATACCTCCTGCTTGGCGTGTTGCTGAATCATATTTTCTTGCCTGGAAGAAGAATGTTGCTGCTCTCTCTCTGTTTTGTTTGGACTGGGCAGCATGCAGTGGGATTTAGTGGGATCCTTAATGGTATTATGCAGATTAGGGTCACACTGCAGCTCTGTGATCTCCAGCTTGGCACCAGGCGGTTTGCCGACTCACCTTAGGCCTTGTTGAGATAATGTTTTCATTACCCGCAGTGGGACTGTAGACCAATATGAAATGGATGGCAACCAGCTGTTTCAATGACAGTGAAATTTAAAAGTTTGCATACCTATTTTGCATATTTTTGGTCACTAGATGGCGCCAAAAGCCTCTTGTGTCTGCTGCTTTTCCACAGTGGTGGGGCTGTGTTGCCTCATCATCTCTTCATATGTAACCCAGCCAGCAGTTAGCAAGCTGGAGGAGAGCTGAACAGCAATGCCCTGATGTGTGAATTTTATTTTTAGATATTTAAATATCTTAGGATACAGTTTTGGCCCAAAGCTAGAATGGTTTGAAAAACTTACTTCGAATCCCCAATGCTGATTGCAGCGGTGTTTGATTAAAAAAAAGAGATGCTTTTATGTTATCTTCTGATCATCCAAGCAGAACTGTCCCAGGGGCGCAGCCGATTGTTAAAAATTCCCTCTGCAGCTAGGCAACCAGCTTGAAATGCGCTGGAAGTCACTCTCTCCAGCGCTGCAAGACAAGAGACAGTCCAGCAGCAGATGGTCTGACCCCCACAGAGCCCTGATCTAAACATCAAGCAGTCCGTCTGGGCTTACATAAAGAAGGAGTTACACAGGGAGCCTCCATCCCCAGAGCTGTGATCAGCTCTCCACAAACATTCAAACAAGCTACAGGATGTGCCTCAGATGTCTAAAAAATGGGAGCTTTTCTAACACTTGCTGCTGTTTTCAAGTTAACACATACAAGACAAGTTAATTAAGTAACTTCTATGTTATTAGGAGGCAACACAAGTTAATGTCTAGACCACATTTTGATGTTTAGATAATTCAATTGAGTGGATTTCTTCTATGTCTGAGCTGGAAAGGGACAATGGTCACTTGGTGGTATCATCTGCATATTTTTTTATGATTCAAACAAACATATAGGGGCTTGATGAAATATTCACACCAATGTGTGTGTTGTTTGTTTTTACTTTAAAGCCATAAAGTGTAGTCCTGTTTCTCTGACCGTGACTGGCTGGATGTGCTCTCTTCATCCTCTGACATGGGAGCTGCCTTGGAGCTCGTCTTCCTGGCTGTGTTTCCTGGACAGGGCCTCCTTTTACAGCTGCTTTTTGTATCTCTGCTTTCGTCTCCTTGAACCCCAGTCGGCCTCAGCAGATGGCCGCTCACATTGAGCCTGGTTCTGCTGGAGGTTTCTTCCTGTTAAAAGGGAGTTTTTCCTCTCCACTGTCGCTACAAACATGCTTAGTGTGAGGGATTGCATTCGAGTCGATGCGATCAACTGGTTTTCCTTAGATAGAAAACTTTGAATCAATTTGACTGGATGATCTGGTTGAATTGTAAAGTGCCTTGAAATGACTTGTTGTGAATTGGCGCTATAGAAATAAACTGAATTTAATTCATTTAATATCACTGTTGGTAATTTGCACGATAAACCGAGACATACTCATACATGCGATGTATGACCATCATGTTTGTATGTAACCTGGAACAAATGCCCAGAAGGCTTTTAAAGCACGGAAACCTTCAGCTGTTCTAAATCCAGATTTAAGCCGTCTTTGTTTAAAGTAGCTGTTCACTGTACAGTCTAAATACTAATAGTTAGGTTTCCTGTTTAACTTTCATTCCCTTTTGCTTAATCATTGTGCACTGAAAAAAATAATGTAACCACTTTTGAAATTTACTTAATCATATGTAGTTTTTTGACACATTTATTTTGCTAAAGTAACTACAAACGCCAAAAATGGTTGCATTATTTTTTCAGTGTATCTTTTTTTATCAATCATTTAATCTATTTTCCTATTTTAGTATCACTCTTATTCTCTTTAATTATTGTGTTGCTTTATGCCACTGGAGTGTATATTTTCTTTCTTTCTCATTTTTTTAATCACTGAAATGTGCTTTATAAATACACATATCTTGTATGTACCTGAGTAGACAGGTAACAGGTATCCTGTTGTGCATCTTATAAACTCCTCAGTAACTTGTTGGTTAACTTAAAAGACGCAAGATGAAGTCATCGTCTAATTTACATACTAATTTACATTCTGAATTCCTCCAATTGTTTTTTTTTTTCTTTTATTATTACAATTTGCTGTCTGTCAAAGCAGGGCAGAGAGATAGAGTCGCTCGAAGTAAGAAATGTGGGGATTTTAAGAGTTTTTTGAGACTTTTACAGAAAGAAGAATAAAAAAAATCATATAATTCATTCATTTAGTTCCAGCTCCATAACAATTGGTGGCATAAATCCACCATTTCTTTTTTGTCATCCAGCAAAAAGAAAAAAAAAACTGAAGAATAAGAAAGCAGCAGTGCAAAGACACATGGAGACTGGGAGGGGAGAAAATTAGGCTGCAGACTGAAAATGCAGTTATTTTATGTGATAAAACTGTGTCATTTAAAAAATATTTTCATTATTTAATTTTGCAATCTAGGGTGAGATTAGCAGCACAGCTTTGCACATTTCATTTGCAATCTGGAGTGTAAAGATTTACTCTCTGCTGCAGCGCAGGTAGCCTGCTCTGCATGGTGACAACAGACAGAAAGAGAGGGAGGCTTAAGATCGGCTCACTCGGGAGGAGAGAGTTTGGTGCTTTTATGTCCCCAGAGTCTCCACTAACAAAAAAACAAAGCCGCTAGATTTGACGCTGGGAGCTTTTTTGAAAAGAGGCACAAGAGGCGATTGAAAAGATGCTAAATTTAGCGACAAAAGTGCTAAGATTGCAACAGTTTTCCTTTGCAATATTGCTTTTTCCATTTACAAAAACTCGTTCTTTATTTAAAGCAATAATGGAATCAAATTAACTCCATAGCTGCAACAGGCTCCTTTGGTGGATGTTTAAAAAGGTAGAAAATCAGTCCTCTAAAGGTATTTTACTATTTATGATCCATCTAATAAACCTTTACTATATCTAAAGATACAAAGAGGCATCATAGAAAGACTTCTAACATTGCTTCGAGTTAAACTAAAGATTAATCCACCGCATATGCGTATAAAAAGAATGGCCTTAATACCGCCTGCAATCACTGCTGTTTAACTTTGATCAAATTCTGTTCCAGGCACACGTTTGTCAGACTAAATATCTTGTGATGGGAGTGATAAGGCGTTGATGTGATGTGTGCTGGCTGCAGGAATATCTACAGATCTTTATCACTCGCAGGCATTTCCATCAGTTTTTTCATGCCCCCATGTTCTTATAAAGAAATGGAAAGTGGTGCAGAGTGTCCATGCAATGAGTGAGACTGGTATTGGTGTGCAGTTTTTCCTGCTTTTCTAAAAAGGTTTTCCAATAATCAAAAAGATTTAAAAAAAAAACATCAGCTTGTCCCATAGCAAACAGCAGCCAACACCTGCTTATTGTTGAGCTTCATCATATCTCTGCTTCAGCGGAGACAGTCCTCTGCACAGCAGCTTGGCTCTTCTTACATGATCATTTAAGATGCAAAATTACAGGCAAAGTGAAGGCCCTCAACGCCCCTCTGCCATGGCTCTTATTGTGTTGCCGTCTGAGTTGCCTGATGATCATGGCTGACAGTATAATTACTGCCGTGTGGGAAGGGATAAAAAGGGATGCTGCTTGCTCATTCTCCCACCTAAACATCCAGCTGCACCGCTCGGACCACTGAAAGAAGGAGGGGGGGGCTGTTTGGAAGGGAGAGGCTCTTCAAACAGATGAAGTGACAACTTAGTCCTCACTTAATGTTTTTGGTAAAAGTAAAATTTACTTATTTATTATTTTTTTCGTTGTTTTTCCTAGGAAATAGAAAGCTGAAAGTAAATGCAATTCAAATATATATATATATTTTTTTAAATTCTAAAGCAAAATAAAAGTTTTTTGTCAACATTTATTTTCTCATCTATTCATATCTTTTATATTCATTTTTATTATTTCTCTTTTTCTGTGTGATTTTAAGGATTTACATTCTTTTTAAATTGTTATTTACAGACGATGTTCTTCTCACCTCTCGGAACGCTCCTTCCTCTGGTCTGCATAGACGTTGAATCTGGATTGCTGGAATACAAAGTTGTGTAACAGTGTCCCCTGGCTGTTACACAATAGGTAAAAATTCACAAAAGCAGCATCACTTACCCACTGGCTGCAGTGGGGTTTGTTTTGGTGCAAAAGAGATGGAAATGTTGATACCAGGGTGGGCTGATGTTAGCAACCTAACAAGCCATTCCAGGAATGACGTAAATGCAGGGGGAGGATAAAAAAAAGGAAATCGTTTTGGGCTTTTCTGGTTTGAACAAAGAGCCAAAAAAGCAAAATTAAAAATCTGCACTCAGGTTGTTTAGTAAATTATGATACATTTTATTAGTATACTGTATAAAATTTCTATTTCTCTAAGAGAGACTGGAGAAATTATGCTTAAATTTTCAATAACAATAGCTATACAAACTACAGCACACATTTAAATCACAAGCAAAAGTTCAATTCAGTTTTTTTATATAGCGCCAATTCACGACACATGTCATCTCAAGGCACTTTACAATTCAACCAGATCATACAGTCAAAGTGATTCTTTTTTTCTATCTAAAGAAAACCAGTTGATTGCATCGACTCATTGACTCAAATACAATCCCTCACACTAAGCATGCTTGTAGCGACAGTGGAGAGGAAAAACTCCCTTTTAACAGGAAGAAACCTCCAGCAGAACCAGGCTCAGTGTGAGCGGCCATGTGCCGAGGCCGAGTGGGGTTCAAGGAGACAGAAGCAGAGATACAAAAAGCAGCTGTAAAAGGCGGCCCCGTCCAGGAAACACACAGCCAGGCAGACGAGCTCCGAGTCAGCTCCCATGTCAGAGGATGAAGAGAGCACATCCAGCCAGTCACAGTCAGAGAAACAGGACCACACTGGAAAACAGGCCGATCTCCAGCATCTATAAAGAAAGGTGTTTATGGCAGCAGCACAGCTGATATGAAACAAGTTTCTTGTGACCGCCATGTTTTTCACATGTACCTGAATTATGAACTGCATATGTGCATATGCTTTCATGTGCAAGATGGGAATCATATATCAGCACGTGTGAAATGAATAGAATTTGTTAAGGATGTGAAATATGTAGCTATTCAACACACGAAAACTGTCCTTCACACATTAATAATATCTGTA